TAAATTCTTTCTATTTTTTTATTTTAATACCTCTTAGACCTGCTGCTGCATGAAAAAAAAACTATTTATTAGTAATACCTTCATCTTACTTTCAAATGGAATTTAAAAAAAAGCTTCCCTCTTAGAACAACAGCTTCGTATTAACATCAACATTGTATTTTTAAGTTTTTATGGCTGGTCAATCAAAAATTATTGTACGCTCTTACTTTTAATTTTTATATTGTGTAGAGTCTGGCAGTTTAATCAAGAGTAACAGGCAAGAAGTAAACTTTTATATATTTAAAAAATTATTTGTTTACTTTCAGATAAGTAAATCTGTCATTACTCACTAGGCTATATGGTTAAATAAGTATTTTTTTATATCCTTATTCATTTGATTTAATGTTATTTTGTTATACATAGTGAATAACAACAGTATTTCTATCTGCTGTCTGAAGTTCACATACACACAAATGATAAGATTATCTTAAAATTCATTTCATTATTTTGTGCAAGAAGAAAGAGAGAAACAATTTTGGAACAGCCTGATATTTATTATATTACCATCTAGATTAATTTAGCCAGTAGTAAAAATGATAAAGAACCAAATTAGGGTACATAGTTTATATTAACGTAAGTTATGTTAGTACTAGGTTAGTAATTATGTTAAATCCAATAGAGTTGACAGTTAAGCAATATACTCTTTTGGTCTTATGTTACAAATTAATAACTTACAATTCTTTGTTCGCAGTTTATATAATCTATACAGGGAGAGTATTCTGCTTCTGAGTCAATTTTTATTGACATTTCTCCTCAATATTGAGTAATAAAGAAGAAAAGAGTTTAAGAGAGAGTAAAATAGATTTTAAAAAAACCTTTAGGCATTGCAAGTACTCAATAAGTCAAAAGTTGTTTACAAGTAGCTTAAAAAAAAGGATAATAATAAAATTTATCACCATACATAGTTACCATTTGAAAGGAACACATATTTTCCATACTTGGTTTCAAAAGAAGTTGGGGACTAGATGGACTTTTTGAATCTTCCAAAATCTGTTTCACTAGCGCTTTTTTAAATAAGTTTTGTCAATATAGGTCCTCGAATTATGAACTGAAAAAATAGAGAATAAAAAAATTATAGGCATTCAAAATAATAAATGTTTGATTAAAAAATTGGTATTTCTATTTTTTTGTAAGTGTTTGATTTCTTGTAATTATCATTATCACTTAAATGATCATTTCAATCAAGTCAAAAGGATATAATAGTTTTTCTTTACAGGAAAAATGTTCCCTAAATAATATACTGTGAAAAACTATGACTAGCGGGGCTTTTTTTGGACAAAAGTGTTCAAGTATATTGACTAATGTTGATATAGATAGCAATATAATCAATCGTCAGTTTATTTAATACAAAAATAGAAAAAAAAANGACTAGCGGGGCTTTTTTTGGACAAAAGTGTTCAAGTATATTGACTAATGTTGATATGGATAGCAATATAATCGTCAGTTTATTTAATACAAAAATAGAAAAAAAAAGTTTTGTCCTGCAAAATATACCTAATAATATAAGTAAGTTATAAAAGAATATTAAATATTTAAAAGGTATCAAAAATAAACTGAAATATAAAAAAAATATGTTGCTTTAAATCAGTAAAAAGTAAGCAACTATTTATTGGTTATGACAAATAATAATAATATCATTTGAAGAAAGGTAATTTAGTTGAGAGTATCTCATTAAAAGATTAAAAAATAAAAGCCTCTATATAAGAAAAGATCATTCTCGGTTTAATTTTAACATCAAACTTAATTTGAAAAGTTTGTTTCTGAGATTGAATTTTGCTATCCCTCATTGCAAAATAAAACCTTAGCTGCTCCATAAAACTCACATGAAGTTTTTAATATAACTTTTACATGTTTGTAGTATGAAGAGTTAGGAAATAAATACATTAATCAACAACTGCTATGATAAAACCAAGAAATAAAACCTATACAGATAAGCTAGTACTCAATAAGTCAAAGGTAGTTTACAAGTAGCTTAAAAAAAGGATAATAAAATTTATCACCATACATAGTTACCATTCGAAAGGAACACATATTTTCCATACTTGGTTTCAAAAGAAGTTGGGGACTAGATGGACTTTTTGAATCTTCCAAAATCTGTTTCACTAGCGTTTTTTTAAATAAGTTTTGTCAATATGGGTCTTCGAATTATGAACTGAAAAAATAGAGAATAAAAAAATTATAGGCATTCAAAATAATAAATGTTTGATTAAAAAATTGGTATTTCTATTTTTTTGTAAGTGTTTAATTTCTTGTAATTATCATTATCACTTAAATGATCATTTCAAACAAGTCAATAGGATATGATAGTTTTTCTTTACAGGAAAAATGTTCCCTAAATAATATACTGTGAAAAAATATGCGGGGCTTTTTTTGGACAAAAGTGTTCAAGTATATTGACTAATGTTGATATGAAAGATTATAAAAGAATCATAGCAATATAATCAATCGTCAGTTTATTTAATACAAAAATATAAAAAAAAAGTTTTGTCATGCAAAATATACTTAAACATATAAGTAAATTATAAAAGGATATTAAAGATTTAAAAGGTATCAAAAATAAACTGAAATATATAAAAATTGAAATATAAAAAAATATGTTGCTTTAAATCAGTAAAAAGTAAGCAACTATTTATTGGTTATGACAAATAATAATAATATCATTTAAAGAAAAGAAATTTAGCCGAGAGTATCTCATTAAAAGATTAAAAAATATATGTATTAAAAAAAAATTAACAGAAAATAGGTAGCAGATTGACAACAATTTTAAATGTTATATGGTTAAACAATTGCACATTTTTACAATTTAACAATCTCTCTTTTTTATGCTTAAATAAAAGTTCATTTAAGTAAAAACTGCTAATGTGTTAATATTACACATTAGAAAAATTGAATAATATTATTGGAAAACAACTATAATAATTTTTATTTTCTTTTAAGATTTATAACAACAGCTGGTTCAGTTAAGTTTACATGGAGAATATGAAGTATTTACCAGATTTGTAAATGATATGTGTCATTTACAATGTCGGCTTTTAAGATTTATAACAACAGCTGGTTCAGTTAAGTTTACATGGAGAATATGAAGTATTTACCAGATTTGTAAATGACACATATCTTTATATTCTGTAAGATAAAATAAAAATTTTTTTGGGTTTTGAACTGTTTTTAATGCTATTTGTCAAGCAATTGCACAGGGAAACAAAATAACTACTAATGATGAAAATTAAAAAATAATCTTTTGTTCAAAAAAAGAAAAGAAAACAAGTTTTTAAATACAAAAAGTAAATTTTAAATGAAAATAAATAAAAAAGGTCAGTAAAAAAAAGAATCATAATTACGAATCATTTTTAAAAACTATCTTCATTCGATTCTACCTTCAGATGATGAGCATATTTCTGAAACAAAATAATTATCAGAAAACACTTCAGATGGTAAGATAGACATATATAGTACTTTAATCTTTATATATGTATAGTATCTTTATATTTGTACAGTTAATATGCTTTAAATCTTTATATACAAAAAAATATAACATTAAAAAATATCATAAGTTGCTCTATCCACAAGATAGAGGATATAAGTATGTAAATTTAAATTTCTTTAAATATGGTTGAAATATAGCATATTAACTGTAAAGTGCATACTATTCCATATTTTAATGAAATTTTTGTCATCAACTTGTTTATTTCAATTTATAAAGAGACACTATGTATGTGTGAAAAAGACTGTGTCAAAAATCTTTATGTTTCATGGTCTTGTACAACTGAGGAAATTATTCAGCAAAACTCTGAACTTATATAAATAATCTTATATAAATAATCTTATATAAATAATCTTAATTAGTGAGTGTTTGCTTGCAGAAAAGTGTTTATTAATCTTCATTACAAAAGGTAAATTTATTTCATTTTACTCTTATAATAGTTACACCTGCAACAAAAAGTTACATTTATACCTTAACAGAAAAATTTAAATTAAGCATGACCAAGTTATGAAATTTTGTATTCAAAAATATCTTATTAAGATATTACTGACACAAAAAAATTATTTTATATTCTAATAATAGTTAAGTATTGGGGGTGTGACATGTTGCAGGGCTCTTGTTAAATACATTTTCTTGTGCAGAAGAATAAATAGAAATGAATAATCATAAAATATTAATGAAAATCCCGTAAGTAGGCAGAATATTTGCAAGAAGAGAGGGAGAAAAGCAAGAAGAAAAGCAAAACTATGATACAGCGAATGACCGAAATCAAGAGAATGTCGGTTTTCATTGGTGGATACCAACGATCAGATAGTCGCTNGAATAAATAGAAATGAATAATCATAAAATATTAAAGAAGTAAGTAGGCAGAATATTTACAAAAAGAGAGGGAAAGGGACAAAAACAAAACTATATACAGTGAATGACCGAAATCAAGAGAATGTCGGTTTTCATTGGTGGATACCAACGATCAGATAGTCGCTACGGAGATGTTATATTTCTGGTCCCATTTATGTTGAGATGGAAATTTCGGTGTAGGTTGGAAGTTTATGGAATACTTGACCAATTGAAGATTGATGCTGATATCAGGGGATGATGAAAATAACACTTAAAAATGAAAACCGGAATATATACTCTGGAGGAGAAAAGTGCTTTGCCCTCTGCACCAAGTGCTCTTTGGCCCAGGCATCCCCTGAACATCTACTGGACTGCCTCGGTCTTTTAAAACAAGACCTTATTGAAAGACCCTTACTTGTTTTAAACTTTTTGAAGGTGAACAATCTCATGGACCTTGTCTAGCTAGGCTAGAAATGGGGATTTGAAAGTAGAAGAAGAAGGAACAAAAAATTAAATATACACTTATGTATAGTTAAATATTAAAGCAAAATTATTATTCAAAACAATTTTAAACATACAGTTATACTTCACAAATATATTTTCAATACTCATGTTCTTAAATCTTATATTGATGTAAAATTAGCTGAGCATTGTCATCACCTGGACAGGCTGAGCATTGTCATTCCTTTCGTGAATTTGAGAAAACTTTATCAGTAACAAACATAATTTGCAAAATCATTTCATTTACCAAATATTTTTCTTATTGCCATTAATACTTTTCCGCATCATTTTAAAAGATTAAGTCTTTGATTTATTTTGATATATAATTCTATCAATAAAAATAAATTCAACTCATTTTCCAAAATTAGTTGAATGAATTTTTCAAGTATTAAAGAGGTATTTAAAAAAATATTTTACATGCTCATTCAGTGCTTCATAAGGCCTCATTGACATGTACTTTTAGAAACCTCATCAAAAGTGAAATTAAAACATGTATACAACACACACTGCAAATTGATATTTAAATGAGTAAAAAATGCTATCAAATGTGAGAAACTACACAAAGGAAGGTGCGAGTAATAAACACCATAACAGATCTAATATGAGGCTGAAATTTGCAGGTTTCCTTTAAACAATCATCTTTCAACTCCTTTCAGATCCCTCCTGTAATCAAACCAGTTTTGCTGTTTATTATAAAAATTGAAAAAAGAAAGATTACTAAAGGTTCTGAGACCCATACTCATCTGGGACATGAATTGTATAGTTGCAGTCAAATCTCACTTTTTGGAAACTGATGATTTGAAATATAGATTTCTTTAAAATTTGAAATACAATGAAAAAAATATGACCATGTTTAAAAATATTATTACAATGAAAAATTAATAAAAATACTGTGAAAAGAATTTTAAATTTTTTTTTTATCATAACGCAACTAACTTTATGAGCAGAATAAAAACAAACTTTTAAGACATACAGATATAAACAATAAAAGAAAAATATTTTTTAGAAGAAAAATATTGGATTATTTTCTTTCCTTAAAAAAAACTATTATTTGAACTGAATTATATATCAAGAAATAATTAATAAAGATACATTGAAAGTTTTTTTAACGGATAAAAGTTATACTTATTAACTTCACTGCATCTTAATAAATAATTTATTGAAAGCATTAAATAAATTTTACAGTTAGATAAAATAAAGTAGTGAATTAATCTTTAATATAAAGTAAAATGAATTAACATCAGTTAAGACCAGATAAAAAAAAATTTAAAATTAAAAAAAAATAATATTTAAAACACTAAAACAAATAATATGCTTAACAGCATTTCTAGTTAATTGATCTGATTTTATAAATATTTATATGAATTACTAAAAATATTTACAACAGGCAATGTATATTTCACATTAATTATGTAGTATACAAAACAAGTTCTAATTCTATAATATTAGAAGAAAAAATTTATCACAGAATTAAAAACTTAGAAAAGAAAATAATTTAGTTCTCATATTTATCAAGAATCCAACTAGTTCTTATAATTACTGTTGTTTAAATCCATGTTGCAAATTGAATGATAAAAATGTAAATAAAAATGCATAGTAAATAATTGGTATAAGAGAAAGTTCTGAGCACAGGTTTTCTATTCTTAGATTAGGAATGAAAATTTACCTTTTAGAAAGAAAAGACTCAGAAACAATCTTATGGCTATGAAAAGGTGGTGGAATTTTAGTTGAACCATTCTAAAAAACAATTCGTTTTGCATCCTACATCTTCCTCATACTGAAAATTGAAAATATTTCTGAATAATTTATGTTAATTAAAATTAAGTTATTTAAAAACAAGCATTAGTTTCAGATATTAAAGAATAAATAGGTACTTTTAGTATCAAGCACTTCTGATATGTTTCTTCTTCTTAAAGATAATGAAATTCTGACACATTGTTATACTTGAAGAAAAAAGAGAGATAATTCTTGAAAAATCATTCAAGTGAAACCAAGCATAATTAAGTATCAAGATTAAATTAGCCAGTGGTCAAAATGAACCAAATTAGGGTACACAGTTTAAATAACTGAGTTATGTTAGTACTATCCGGTGTGGCAGAAATTTTTTTTAAGGCTTTCTGAGACATACCTCTTTAATACTAATATGATATTTAACAATATAGATATTTAACAACAACAAATATACAAGATATTTAACAATAACAAATGTACAGACTTCAAAAAAAAATAAAAAAAATAACTGTAACTTCAAAAAAGTTAAATTAATTAAATATATATATGAAAATTGGAGCAAATAAAATAATTTTTTTAATTGAATATGTGATTTTTCTCATTCTAATATTATAAGCGATATTCTAGCCCTTTGTAGAAAGATAACACACTAATATTTCCTTTTTCGCACTTTATAATTCATAATCGCATTAAAAAAATAAAATCTGTAGCAGTAACTGCCGATAAAAAAGATAGACGACGAAATCATGCGAATCGGACTCTTCAAAAAGGGGTTACTAAACGTGTGTTTTCATTTTGAGATTTAGTTGTTGGGACGGATTTTAAAAACTATGTGGAAATCAATAGCAATAACTGCATGAAAAATTGGAACGAACATTTCCACAGAAAAGAAAATCAAAATTTTTACTTCATCATTCTTTATCTTTCATTATTTTCCAATTAGAATAAAAAAATCACAAGTATTTTTTTCCCCACTCACAACAACAAATATACAAGATATTTAACAACAACAAATATACAAGATATTTAACAATAACAAATGACTTCAAAGGACTTACAGACTTCAAAGAAAATAAATAACTGTAACTTCAAAAAAGTTAAATTAATTAAATATATAAATGAAAATCGGTGCAAATAAAATTTTTTTTTAAATTGAATATGTGATTTTTCTCATTCTAATATTATAAGCGATATTCTAGCCCTTTGTAGAAAGATAACACACTAATATTTCCTTTTTCGCACTTTATAATTCATAATCGCATAAAAAAAATTAAATCTGTAGCAGCAACTGCCGATAAAAAAGATAGAGGACGAAATCATGCGAATCGGACTCTTCAAAAAGGGGTTACTAAACGCGTGTTTTCATTTTGAGATTTAGTGAACTGAATTATCTTTGGAATCTTATAAGTTTAAATTGAATAACATTTAAGTATTGCATACAGACACAATGAATATTAATAAAAAAACAAAGCTGAGCATAGAAACTGAAATTAAATTGACAAACCCTTACAACTTGCAAAAAACTAATAAAGGAATTAATTGAAAATAAGAAAATTTTTAAAATCTAAATTGCTTGCACCTGACTTTAATCTATCCATCTATGAAATATGACTTTAATCTATCGATCTGACTTTAATCGATCTACAAAATTAAAATTTTATTTGAATAGTTTTGACACATTTTGAAAGTTGAAATTTCAGCAGTAGGGTTATTTTTTCAACATACTCAGAGTTACATAAACTAAAAATAAAATATTATATAAAATTAAAAAAAGAGCAGAATATCCAGTCTCATGGATGAATAACATGATTGGCTATTTTAAAAATTAGGCCAAAAATTAAATACAATTAAAGCTCTTGATTCTTGCTTTTAATTTCTTTTGCTTTATGTGCAAACATGAAAAATAGTAAATTTATATAATAAAAGTAGACTATTTAAGAAGGTAAAAAATACCTCTGTTCTAGGCAAAATATCAGGATCAGTTTCGATTCTAACAATAATTTCACACATGATGATACCAAAAGAAAAAACATCAGCCTAAAATAAAATATCTTTTAAAATCTAATTTATACTTTCATTTATTAAACAAAAAAGATGGTTCACTGTTATCTTTTATGTAAGAGATAAATTTGAAAAGGAAAATTTAAAAATAAAATTACATCTTTTTTCTTAACAACTACTAATGAAACAAAATTTTCTTAGAATATTTAACGAAATTAGGTAATTAGAAAATTTTGTTACCATTTTTCAAAAGAAGTTTAATTTTTATTTAAAAGCAAAACAGTAACAGTAATGTCAGTTTATTATCATAATAATAATAATATGGACTACAATTTATTTATTTACACACTAAACTTTATTGCTATTCACAGGCAAACCACCAGGCCATCTATATTTCAAAGGCTATAAATGTCGCTAAAACCAAAACCACACACACGCATTGGCGACACATCTGTCACCTAGAAATATGTTAGGAATTTGCAGAATAGTAACGAAAAATAGAATTTTGCATTCATTTGTGTCGCCAATGCGTGTGTGTGGTAGACATCTGTCACCTAGAAATATGTTAGGAAATTGCAGAATAGTAACGAAAAATAGAATTTTGTATTCATTTCCATGCAATTAAATAAAACTTTGCTGCACAAATTTTATTGTTCAATGTGTAATATGGAATTTAAAATGCGTGGTGTTCAAATGGAATAAGAGAACGTATCTGGTACAAATTTTTTAAAATTTAAATGATGAAAACATGTTATTTTACATGTGCTGTGCTTTGCATTCATGTACTGACCTTGAACCTTTACCAAGTACAGACTTTGACATTTTTATTCATGAATTATTAATAAATAAAATAAAATGTTTTGCTCTTTTTTAGAATTGACTTTAAAATTTTATAATTTAGTTATTCAAAACTTTATAATTTTTAATCTAGTATTCTGTTAGGTCTAACTTTCTCTATTTTCTTCATTTACTTATTTGATCTCAGCATTTTAACGGCTAAGTTTAATCTATTTTTAGCTTCCTTATACTTAATTTTAATAAATACTTACCTTCAATCATTATGGGCTAATGAATCTAATTAGTTTTGGGGTGTTATAGATGGCAATAATTTTTGATGTGTAAATTGTACAAATTGACTTTTTTCTCAAGTTTGTTCATCATTAAAATTTTTTTTAAAAACTTAATGAATGGTTCTATTGGGCCATTCAATTTTCAGTGCTGGTGTGAACCCTAAATATCTGGAAAACTTCTTCATTAACTACCATACCACATAATTACCTTTTATTCATGACAGGTTTAACATGCACCTTGCAGAATAAACAATCAAGTTGTTCAATTTGTTACCAAGGTGGAGCTCCCAGCAGAACTCGAACCCGTGCCAACAAAACACTTTGCTGTCTTAACCTTTATTTTCTTCTTCCTTTTTTTCTTTTTAAACAGGTAAGTGAAGGCACAGGGAAGCACTTAAAATAGAACTTTGGAAATAGGCTCATCTATAAATTTTATTTTTTCACATTGTAAAGCTGAAGAGCTTGGGAGAATATAGTAAGCCAAATTAGAGTTTTTGGAAGAATGCAACTAGAGTGATTTCTGAATAGACAGACAACACGATATTTAAGTGAATTGTGCTATTATTTAAAAGAAATTTCAGAAATTCTGGAAACAATACTAAAGAACAGTTACATAGAAAAATATCTTTAGAAAAAGTGAGACTTTTCACTATACTGTCTTAAATCCTTTAATTGATTATGCTCATGCCATAGTTTTTGAAATGGAAAAAAAAAAACTGTATAAAATTACACATTATTAGCTCTCCATTTGAATATTTTAACTTTTCTTTGACACTTGAACATATGATTCAGTAACTGATAAGGATTACAACAACTTAAAAACTAAGCATCATAAAAAGTTATAATTAATCATAGCTCAAGAACAAATATACTATTTTTTAAAATTGTTACTTACGTTGATCTGAAAAAATCCTGACATAATATATAAACAAAATAGACACACATGAAATCTGTTCGAATATCTTCTACTTATAACAATGCTGTAATATAATATGATATACAGTAAACAGGTTTTTACAATGATCATCAGAGTAACATAGTTAGCCCTTTAAATAGAATAGACCACTAGTATTCATTTTGTATTAGAAAAGCATACTACATGTTAGTGTATGACAGCTTTTAATGTTTATAGCAATAAAGAGTTACAAATATGAGCTGACATTAATTTGTAACATTTTTTGCCTAGCTAAATATTAGTAACTCATTAGGAAGTAAAGACATTCCCAGATTGTACGTTAAATCAATTAGACACCTGAAATATAATCATAATCAATTTAATAAGAAATATATCAAAAACTATATTTTATTCAATTTGATCTACAAAAGAGGGGCACTGAGCACTTTATTCTTATACATTAATTGTTTAGATAATCAAGTTTTCTTTATTGAAATACTCTTTCTTTAATGAAACTGAGACACCTCATACATACTAAAGGGTACTTCATACCCTAACTACCTGGATTAATGGGATACCTACCAAGATACAACTGTCTCCTCCCATCATTTTAGGTATAAGGTTCTATAAGTATGTTACTATAAGACTATCATATGAATGATTAAATAAGCACTTAAATTTAATCAAATTATGAAAAGTTCGAAATACTAAATATTATCAGCAACTTTTTTTAATTACAGAGCAATAAAATAGAGAGGGGCTAAAACCACCCCAGTCATCTTTGTATTGTTAATACAATAATACTCATGAAGTTTTTGAAGGAGTGTAAATAAATATGACAAAAAGTGTCCTTGGAACACTGAAAATTATAAAGTAGATTAAAAAATATTTACCTTTTTACTATACCACTTTCCCTTTAAACACTCAGATGCATCCAATAAGGTGAACCAACAATTAGTAAACGTTTAATGCGATCCCTAAAATAAACAAATAATCTCTTAATACCTTAATAACGTCCTAATATCTGAATGAACAAATAACATCATAATATTTTAGAAAAAACAATTAGGCTTAATTATAAAAACCATTTAAATTTATAATTCAACAGAAAAAGTCTCAAAATAAGGACGAAAGAAGTTGAAATACTAGCATGTATAATTTAGACTTTGTTAAAAAGATATTTACACTTTTATTAAAAATATATATATACACATTAAGCTTATATTGAATTATTAAAATGCTTTTAAAACTGTTATATATTTTTGAGACATGCTAATTTTGATTGTAATTAAACAAATTCTACAAAAAAATTCTAATTTAAAAAAAGAGAAAAATCAGATCTTTTTTCCTTTATAGACACTTAGCGGTTATGCTGCAACAGTTATTGCGCAACATAGAAGTTTGTGTCACAAATGTGCAAACCCTTTAACAATTACAGAATTTTCATAGTTACAGAAAATATTTTTAATGGTAGTAAATGTAAAGTATTAATATTTTAACTAACTAAATTTAAAATAAAATTGTTCACCACTACATGCAAATGATTTAAATTGATGTATGAAAAGTCTGATACACAAAAGCTCATTAACATTTAACAAAAATTCTATTTCTTTTAAAATTTCTGCTTTAGTTTACTACCACTAGGATAAATATAGCATTCATGATCACCAAGAACACTACAGGATAAAAGAGGACTTCTAAAATGACTATCCTTCCTTCATCTTTTTAAATTTTAATAATACAACAAAGCATTTTTTTCAGGGGACCGAAGTAAATTGATGTATAACAGAAAATCAAA